TAAACCCCCAAACCCCTAAACCCGAGACCCTAAACTCTAAACCCTAAACCCTACACCCTAAACCCTAAACCTAACTCCATTTTGGAATCGCCCCCTCCCGGCCGAGGTTGGGCAACCACAGCCCAAGCCGTCGACTCGATGTCTCCCACGCAGAGGCGGAAGACGAGGTGCGAGGCTTCTTTGCTTCAGGGTTTCGGGGTTTAGGGTTTAGGGTCTATATAGTTTAGGGTTTAGGGTTTAGGGCTTAGGGGTTTAGGGGTTTAGGGTTTCGGAATTACACTAATAATTGCACAGTGTAGGGCTTCGGCTTAGGGCTTCGAGCTTAGGATCTAAGAATTTGGGGCTGCAGCTTCAGCTAGAAAGTTTTTTTTTTTAAGGGGGGCGTTCGGGCTGAGAGGTCTAGGACTTCTGACTCATGGGTTTTCGGGTTGAGGTCCAGAGTCCTACCCCCAAATTAAATGCTTCACTCTAGACCCCTCCCTAAACCCTAAACCCTAAACCCTAAACCCTAAACCCTAAACCCTAAACCCTAAACCCTAAACCCTAAACCCTAAACCGCAATCTCAAATCTCGTTGGAGCTGTCAGGATGCGCTTCCCTTGGTGCCGGCGCGACAGCTACAGGTCACCCAGGCCTTCCAAGTGCAGGGCCGCTGGCAACAGTAAGATTTTGGGGAACATGGCGCAGTGGTTTTAAATTTCTGTAGGGAACATATGACAAGATTATACTAATTAGTTCTTCAGAACATTATATTCGAAGATAGGGTGTGGGATTGAGGAGGGTTCAGAGGTGACGATTTAGGGTTGAGGGTTTCAGCCTTAGGATGGAGTGTTGGGGCTTCCCAGACCTTCTCGCTAGACTCCGAGTGGACCTCAGTAGCACAAACTTACGGAACATGGCAGGTTCGTGCTATAAAGCCCTAAACCCTACACCCTAAACAGGGTTTCGGGTTTACGAACTCTGTCGCTTGCGAAGCTCTTTGTCTTCAGGCATTTCGCCAGGCAAACATCGAAAGGTTAGATGCTAAGCCCCTGATTTCCTCCTGGTCCTGAACCCTAAACCCTACACCCTAAACCCTAAAGCCAAAAGCCAAAAGCCCAAAGCCTAAAGCGCAAGCCTAGACCCAAAGCGTCTTTTCAGCGACCGCCCCAATTTTGCCGAGACGGTGCCCAGCAACAAGCAGATCGACATCTCCATTGTCTGGGGCATCAGAGCATTGATCTCGGCTAGAGCCGGTTTAGGGTTTTAGCGATGTTCTGCTTCACGGAATTCTGAAAGCGCTCATTGGCAGGGGTTTAAGGGGATGTTTACATGGGTGCACGCTCTGTTTCTCTGATTGTACTTGGAGGTTCAGGGTAGTTATAAGTAGGGTTATAAGTTTCTATACCTAGACCCCATATTAGGGGAGTTATACTCCTACTTATAGCCACCCATGAACCTCCAAGTAAGGGTGCTAGAAGCGAGGGTTATTGTGCCGGGCTTTAGGCCGAATCGGCAACCTTGGCCTTTTTTGTGGAACTTGTGTGGCTGGCCCTGGTGCTCACGATACTATCTAATATACTATTTACTAATTTACTATAGTATACTATTATGGTCCCGAAACCCTAGACCCTAAACCCTAAACCCTAAACACTATAACTTTACGATGTTGCTCATGCGGGAATGCAGGTTTTCGTTACAGGTTGAAGTTGACCAGGTAGCTCCTGAATAACGGAATCCCCAGCCTCAGACAACGACAAGGTATCCCCACTTTGAGGCCCAGGGGACTTAGTAAGCAGGTTATAAGTAGAGTTATAAGTACCCTAACTGGAGTTACCCCAATTATAACCCTACTTATAACCGACTTACTAAGTCCCCTGGGCCTCCAAGTAGGGTTCAGAACAATTTGCACCTTGGCTCTCGGTAGGAGGCAGTTCACCATAATGTTTACTTGGAGAGTCGGGGGGCTTAGTAAGTGGGTAGTAAGTAGACTTATAAGTCCCTAAAAGGGATCCTAATTGGGGTTACGATACTTATAACTCTATAAAATAACTACTTACTAAGTCCCCCGACACTCCAAGTATTAACCACCAAAACCCCATTCGAAGTATTAAGGCTCCTACATTATCCCGTAGCATGAAGCTAGAGGAAGCATTGAAGGGCGAGCAGTCGCTAGAATCTTCTCTGAGGCTTCAACACCCCCTGACTAACTCCCTGGCTCTTAGCAGGGAATGGCGGAATGGATCCCGATG